TGGAGCGGCCACTGCACTCCAGTCTGGGCGACCGAGTGAGACTCCAACTCAAAAAAACAAAAAACAGTAAATATAAAGAAATAGTCTCTGCTTCTTCAAAGAGATATGCATTTTTCCAATGTTCTTAAAAAACCAGATCCTTCCCAGTCTTCTTTTTCACTCTCTCCTCAACTTTTTTTTCTTTGTTTTATTGTAAAGATGTGGGGCACAAGTCAGGATTAGGTACACAGGTAGTCTGCATGCAGGTGAAGTCTGGGCCTCCATTTCCCCCGGTTTAGGATCGGGTACCCTTAGTGATGTTATGTGCCCCCCTCTCTTCCGCCGCCCCAAACTTTTGATAGAGAAATAGGTTCAATAAGCAAGTCTTAATTTTCCTTCTAAATCTACAATAAGGAAAACAGCTGTCATGGGTTAATACCCTTTGGCTTTGGTACTGGAGGCAATAGGGAGTAGTGGGGAGTATGGTACCTGGAGGGGCAGCTACTTCTCTGCTCTAGCTGGTTGCTGCCCCATGGCACAGCAGGCCCGGTACTGCCCAATCTGATTTTTCACAAGAAACTGGAAACCAATCCTATTTTAAGTTAAACTTCTCAATTAAAAAAAAATTTTTTTTTTGAGTTGGAGTTTCACTTCATTGCCCAGGCTGGAGTGCCAAGGCACGCTCACAGCCATCCCAGCCTCGACCTGCCAGGCTCAAGTGATCCTTCCACCTCAGCCTTCCAATTAACAAGAACTACAAGCGCACGCTACCACACCTGGCTAATTTTTGACTTATTGTAGAGACGCGGTCTCGCCAAGTCGCATAGGCTGGTCTCGAGCCTGTGGGCTCAGGTAATCTACTCGCCTCAGCCTCCTAAAGTGCTGGGATTACAGGCTGAGCCAGCGAGCCCGGCCTTGATTTTTAAATTTTGACATCACATTCAACGTAAAAAAAAAAAAAAAATCACTGGACTCCAGGACCACACCCACACACCACTGGAGCTAGTCCATCTACAACCTCTGTAGACTATTCCTCAGGTTCAATGCCTATCTCTGTGCTTTCCCGGGAGTTCTTGAGGGCCAGGAAGCCAAGTGCACCTGGGACTAAGGCCCAGAGCCTCATGCAGGAGAACAGATGAACCCAGCAGCAGGGGTGGCCTTTCTCCCCACATTGGCTGCCCCCAAGATGCACGCCCTTGCCCTGTACCCTGTGCAGCCCCCAGACCACTCTGCCACTGTCTCCGGATGCCTGAAGCCACCCTTGAGTCCACCTTCACACTCCACATACCGCCCTTTGACACCTCACCTCAACCTTAAAACAGACCTCATATTAGGCCATCAGATAGGACTGTTCATTTTCTTAGATACAATAACAGCATTTGTGTTTCTAAAAGAGAATGTTCTTGCTATTTTTTTTTTTTTTTTTTGAGACAGAGTCTTGTTCTGTTGCCCAGGCTGGAGTGCAGTGGTGCGGTCATAGTTCACTGCAGTCTCCATGCCCAGCTAATTAAAAAAAAAGTTTTTTGTAGCGTTGGGGTCTCACAATGTTGCCCAGGCTGGTTTCACCTCAAGGGATCCTCCTGCCTCAGTTTCTCAAAGTGTTGAGATTATAGGCGTGAGCCCCCGCCCAGCTGAATGCCTTTATTTTATTTTATTTTATTTTTTTGAGTTGGAGTCTCACTCTGTCGTCCAGACTGGAG